GGCGTGCGTCCGCGTGGAACCGGAGCGTTTTTTTTTTTTTTTTTGTCCACGCGTGTCCTCAGCCGCACCGCAGCCTGGATATCATGTGTTCCCATTCCACTCTGATTATGCGTAAGAGGGATGCATTAGCGTGGAGGAATGATATCCAGGCATACACTACAATGCTGATGACGCTGTGATGACAACAAGAAAATGACGTTCTCCATTCCTGTGATTACACCGGAAAACACGTCCGCTCTTGCAGCAATGAGGGTGGAGAATCAAAAGAGCGTTAGTGTGATGGAAATACTCTGTTCTGTTCTGCCTGAAATGACAGGTTCGTTTTGCTTTTACGTTCTTTCTGAATTAGGATATTTGAACCATTCAGCTGTAGTGAATCCAGACATCTTTAATGTTACCATGTCCAATTCTATCAAATCCAGATGCAGGGGGTAAGCAAGTTCAAAATTAAAGAACATTCACCGCTTCAACTTAAAAGAAAGTTGTTTAATCAATAATCATGTGCACAATTGAACCAGATAAGATAAATGTCTGGTTGTGAAGAGAAATATCCAACGGCTGAAATGGGTCCAACCAATCAAAGTTGATAAACAGCTGAGTTCTTTTTGGATGATGATAACTAAATATAACTTTATACAATTTGTTTCAGACGTGGGTCGTATGAGGTTCTCATTGTGTGACAACCTTTGGTAAAACTGCAGTTGCTCCACGATATTGTATTTCCACGAAAACAATTCAACAAAAATGTTTGACACCACGTTTTATTTTTGTTAAAATAGACGAGAAACAACTTTTCCTTCTCTGCTAAAAGTCACTCAACAAACTGATTATTACTTGAATCATGTTATCTTTGCCACATTATGTAATTTTGGCATTTGATCAGCTGATAAATTTAGTAATAGTTTTCAAGTAAATTTTATCATTGCCCAATATATAATCCAAAATCAATAACATGGATAATAAATATGTCTAGTGTAGGAGTCTTCTTTTTTTCCAGCTGACTGGCAGTGTACAGCAACAGGTGGCGAAGGGTACTGCTGCTTTTCTCCATGTTCTACATAGCAGAAGAATACTGCTCCACCTTGTACGTTTTCTGGTGTCTTTATTGTATGGTATAAAAATATTTAGCTCTTTCTTTTTGTTGCATTTCCTTCAATCCAAAATGTAACCTACCCATGTATGTTGTACTTTATTAAGATTTAAAAAGTAATTAATAGAGCAGTTCATATTTCATTCTTAACATTGGTGTACCAGCCTGAGAGCAGGTTCATGAGGTATACTCACTGCTCACTATGCATACATGTATTACAGACTCAACAACCCAAAGCAGTTCACCTTTTTGATTAGGAAATGCTTCGTCTCCACATTGATTTCAAGTTCAAAATCTAAAACTTAGTTTGGTCAAAGCTGAAGTGGCTTTTCCTCTACCGTTTACTGTTTCTCTTTGTGCAAACAAAACAATATTAAGTCAGAATTTGATTTTGAAATAGTGTGGAAATTTGAACTCGTCAAAAAAAAAATATTGTTAATCCTCTCAGCTGAAGAGTGTGTGTGTGTGCGTGCGTGTGTACGTGTGTGTGTGTGTGTGTGTGGTGGTGTGTGTGTGTGTGTGTGTGTGTGTGTGTGTGTGTGCGTGCGTGTGTGGGTGCGTGTGCGTGTGTAGGTGTGTGTGTGTGTGTGTGTGCGTGTGTGTGTGGTGCTCACAGATGTACTGTAAGTCGTTTTTATGGTTTCTTCTTCTGTAAATTTCCTTCAATGCCAAACATCTTAGTTCAAATATTGCCTCGTTGGTGAGTCAGCAGACTCTTTCCACTTCAGACTATATCCACATTATTACTACTTTTACTTTTCTTTTCTTTTCTCTTTTTCTAAACCACGCAGCAGGAGGCGATGCCGGTCGCCTAATTAAAACAGATCATCCGATGGCCACGTGCAAGCCGACCCCCTCCGCTAACAGGATGTGACGGCAGAGCGCCTCGTGATTGATAGCACTCGTCAATATATTTCATTTCAGGGGCTTTAGTCAAATGACAACTGGTTGTCATTGACTGAAAGCAATCTTTTTAAAAGGGGGGAGCTTTTTCTAAGTATCAGATGAAAATGATTCCTCTGTCTGCTTGGGTGTCACTGTCTGCAGGAGCTTTATTGATTGGACTTGAATATATTGCACCCGCAGTGGTAACAGCTGCTGGCAATAGCGCCGCTCTCCTTCTGCTTCGCAGCACTTTTTTCCGTGCTCGGAGGCTTATTGCTAGTGCTCGGTTGTCGGGCCTCTCTCACGGATGCCCGAGCGCGTCGGCGTCGTCGAGAGCGACGCGAGACAATTGCGAAGTGAGCGTGTTTCCGAGCCCAAATTAGAAAGGCGAGCGTCGTTTGGCTAATGCGTCCAGAAGGGCCTGGCTCTCTCGGGCACATCCAAACCCGCTCATGAATGTGTTTAACTAAACCCACCATTGTGTGCCACCCCTCCTTCACCCCACACCCCAATTCTTCTCCCCCCCGCCCCTGCTCTGCGTTATCAAGCACAAGAATGTTGGCATTGGTTGGTAAAGGTCATTTACTGTAATGAGATTTGCCACATGCAAGCATATGGCCTGATTATTGCTCTGTTCGTTAACATTTTCAGCAAAGAGACAAATAGACAGCTGAAACGGGGATGTTTGCAAGGAGGGCGGACGAGGAGAGGCAGTGGGGGGGATGGGAGGGGGGTGACGACTGGTGGAGCAAACATGTTTAGCATTTTCTCTTCAAAAGACAGGAAGAACTTCTTTCACAACAAATCTGTCACAGAGATGATTGATCTTTCAATTTTCATAAGGAATGCGCGCCATCCGAGCCGAGGATTTAAATTATCCCATAAAAGTTGCCTGCCGTGGGATTTTTTTCATTTTGTTTTGTTTAGGTTTTTTTCCTCTTTTTTTTTTTTTTTTGCGTGTGCGTTTAATACTCTTTAAGGACAAACACCTCTGTCTGTCTCCTTGATAATTTCCAGCACATGTTACACTCTGGCGGGTTTGCATTGGGAAGCAATTATGTTACCTCATCAAATCAGAAATGTTTTTTTATCATGCTTTCTGCCGCGTTACACGAGGTGTCTTGGCAGGAAAATCTTCGCCCACCTGAATGAAATCAGTGCATCTTTTTCTTCCCCCCCCCATTTTATTTTGTTTTGTTTTTATTATCCTTTCACATTAAAAGCCGTTTCGTTTGTTGACGCGGACGAGGCCGACGTGCATTCCGATCCTCACGGCTCTCCGAATGTAAAGCATATTGCTCGCATGTGTGCCCATGTCTGGCCTGCAATCATCCATGTTGTTTTCGAGGGTTCTCATGTTTACCGCTCTTTGTTGCGCCGATGATGATGTGTTCTTTTTATGTCGTCCGTTTCAAGTCACGCGTAGCGTGCACGCCCGCGCGGAGCTCAGAGCAGGTATTTAACAAAGGCAAGATGTTTGCTTTATTATCGACATTAACTGTGTAAACACGGAAAGCTTCAAAGTTTCATTCAATGACACTGAAGGGCTGTGGGTGGCTACATCAAAGCGCCATACCTTTTCTCCCCCCTCTGTGTTTTAATGAGAAACAGGGACTCACCAGCCTTGACTGAAACTGCCATCTGTGTATGTCTGGGTTTTTTTTTTTTTCTTTTTTCTTCCTTGTTTGCATTTGTGTGTAGTCCTCGTATGATTGTAGGAGAAGGTATGTTTCTGGGCACCTGTGTTGTCTTTACGCTGCTCTTCGGCATGCTTATGGAGGCGGTGACTCATGTTTGGTCGGTTCATCGGGTGCAGAGATACCTCCACCTCTCACACTTTAGATTTTTTTTTTTTTTTTTTTTGAGGACGTGGGTATTATGGGTAATTAAGGTGGAGACGATACTCAATATTTATTCCAGTAGAACATCGCAAGAAGTTAATTTTTGTTTTCACAAATGGGCTGAAGATTTCAAAACTCAAAAACCGTCTTAACGGATGTTAGTGTCCAAAAGTTGAGTCGGGGTAAATAAGAAATGCACTGAATTTGTAAAGCATTTTCTTGTCATATTGATCATTGGAGCATATTTATACTACCGCAGCTTCCTATGCAGAACTTTTTCTTCAAGATAGGCACCATTTATCTATCTGGATAAAAGGAGTTTTGGGATGGGACAAAAATGTTTTGGTTTCTCAATTTGATTCTGTTTAATTGTTAATAAAAAAAGTATTTTTTTCTTTTTTTTTAAGTTGATTTCTTATTAAATTGCACCATTTTGTTGTTGAGTTACTGGCAGAAAACCCACAGTGAAACACTGACACTGACTCAAAAATCCAAACCTTGGAGAAGAGTCTATGCCATTCCTGGGTTTGCTTTAAGAACCAAACCAAGCATTTAAATGGCCATTTTTAATTTATTTTTAATAAATAGTAACAAATCACAAATAATAGTCCTGTAAGCAAAATATGCATTTAAGCCTTTAAGCAAAATAAATATTTTTATTTCTGATGGTTAGGGACCACAGCCACTCATAAATAGTTGAGATCATGTAATACTTGAACTCAGAAATGCTTCCTATTTTAATGATTCAAACACCAAATCTATGTTAACATGGGCTAACATGCACAGTGGTCCTCCATATTTCAGTTTTTGAGGGCAGCAGCCAATCGACTCAATGTTGCACAGAAAAATCCACAAATAGATGAATCTGTGACGACTGAACCAGGAACAGGCGCTCGTATACATTTTATTTTGAAATGTGATCTAAATGACCATTTTTGCCGAAAGTACAACAAAATGGCCATTCGACACACTGCTGAATTTGAAGGCAAATTCACCTAAAGAGTTGATAACCCGACATGCCTTGGTGTTTATACATTAGGAATGTTCTAAATTTGAGTCTGGAAAAGAGTGACTTGTGGTGAACTCAGAGCACAAGTCGCATTTATCCATCTGCACCTTCAGGCTCCAAGTATATACTGTATATATTTTTCTCACTTTTTAAAATCTGTCCACACTGTCTATAGGATTCCAAACAAAGTGGACTGCATGGGTACAAAATGGAAGTAGGAAGAGAGGAAATGGCGACACGTGGGAACAAGATGGGGGTAAGAAGACAGGGCGTATTGACCCCGACCCTTTTTTCTGTTGATATCCACAAACATTTGTGGACAATTATCGATTGATTGTTGAAATGGAGAGTTGTCAACTGCCCCAATGAGCAGTCATTGCTAATCAGTCTGATAACACAAGCAAAGCACCTCAATAACAACTTCCTTTCTTACGTTAAAATATAGATCTAGGAACACGGACTTCAGCAGACGAAGGTATGCCAAGACACCAAGTGAACATCGCGAGACAGACGTGACTTTAACGAGAAATATCTCGGCATTTCGATATTGCATCTTGTCAAACCCTTGCAGTCAAGGATTTGAACCATTTTTGTGCCACTGGTTACTGTGTTGAAAGTAATCAGACAGGAAATTAGAAGAGACAAAGGAAAGACATGCGCCATAGGTTCCAATGTCAGGAATCAAATCCAGGACTACAGCAACCGATCTACAGCCACACCGCCCCGAGCTCTACGGAACTTTATCATTAGCCATTCATTTCTTTTTTGGCTCCGATCGAGTACTTGAATCTTCAACACTACCACAACAAAGACTCCGTAACCCCACCTCACCTTTGTAGGAGAAACACAAGCGCAACATGGGGGCATTTTACAAGAGCAATTAGCCGAAAAACTCAGATTGTTTTGCTGCAGAAGGCTGGATTGTGCAGGGAGTCGGTCTACTTAGCTGCTTGACTGGATTGTTCCTGTTGGTTTTGACAGATCAGAAGGAGGAAAAAAGAAAAAGAAAACTATATTCAACAGCATGAAAAACCAGAGGCTTAGCATTGAGTAAATCAGCCCTTTGTCTTGTTCAATTCCAATCAAAGGATAACCGGGAATGTTTGTTTGACAACAGCATTTACAATGCATTGTTCTGAAGCTCAGAGCCTCCCAAACAAAGACAGATAGGCTTTAAACAAGTCATTTAATTAGCACCGAATCCCCGGCTTTGGCTGCGGCAACCAATTATACATTCCTGAGGCATGTGCAGGTCCTATTTCACAAGAGCGAGAGGCAGATCCTCTCCAGCCCTGTCTCTTACAGTACATCTCTCCCCTTCCATTTAAGAGAAGGTAAATAGCCCAGACAGACAGCTTCATTAGCCAGCGTCTGAAGAGCGCGGGGCCGATTGTCGCTTAAATAGTGCGCTTTTACTGCAGGCCCAGCCAGCGACCTCCGATCAATTACAGCTGACATTATTGTTTGTCGGGAGCTTTTTTTTTTTTTCCTGGACAGAAAAAAAAGGAAAGATAGAAAAAAAAAACAAGATCAGGCCTGAGCTTTAGGTGGAAATGTAATCTTCCCTTCCTCTCTCTTTGCGTCTTTTCTCTCCACAAACAATAAATCATTCAGTTGAAGAGATAATAAAGTGCCAAGTAGGAGCTAGTTTAATTTTTGTCAGGGGAAATCTGTCCACAGCAGAGTTAAGGTTCGAGGTGGGGGTGTGGAGGGAGGGTGCTTGCTTTCTCATACCATTTTCAATGACAAAGGCTTAGCTCTTCTTCCCCTTATTTCCCTCTGTAGGTTTTTATAGCCAGGAAGGTTGAGGTCGTGTTCTCATAAAGAGATTAACCACAGCAAAAGTCAATTCAAGTGTTGTCCTCAAAATAAATTCCACTATTTCTTTAATCTATAAAAAAAAAAAACACACACACACACATTGAACCTTTTTCTTTTTTTTTTCTTCCTTTTTCTGGTGTGACTCCGTTAAGCAACTGGAACTGCCGAAAAAGCCCTGATGTAACAGCTTTTTAATCACGCCGTTACCGAGGGCTGTTTTAATTCATCCAATTCATCCGCCGCGATTCGGATCTCTGCTCATCCGAGCGTGAACTCACAAAAGCACGCCACAACATAATAGCTGAGCTGTTTATATTGGTATTAAGCGATTTGTAGTTTTAATGATGGTAAATAGGAGTTCACCTTTGCGGGCTCCCTCAGGCTTACTTCGGGTAAATTACTCCAAATGTATTGTTTATGCCCTCCAGGAGAGACGGTGGGCCGAGCGCGAAAGGAGGGGGATTGTTGTAGGAAGTGAACTCATCAGGTCTGAACTTCTATATGTGTGAGATCAGCACAGCTAAGACACTTGATGGAAATCCCTGGTTAAGATGCCTCAAAAGCTTTAAAATAAACATATATTTTATTGCTGTAGCATGAGCTCACACCAAAGAGTTTGGGAAAAACAGACTTTAAAATCAGTAGATTGTGGAGAGTCCTCTCATGCTTTTCTCTTCAGCTCACCCAACAGGTTTTCATTAGGATTTAGTTATGGTCACTGAGGCTGATTTTGTGTCTGTTGACTCTTTTCTGAAATTATTTGTCAGGATGTTTTTTTCCATCAGCATCCTGCTGTCAGACCCGATGACGACCCATTTTCAGATTTGAGTTGGAGGACTTCAAATTTCTTTAGGAAGCGTCCTGGTGTTTTAATTTTCTAGGTTTATATGCAGCATGACCGGGTTCCCAGAGCCACCGGAAGAGAAACAAACCCACAGCATCACAGATCTAGTACCAAACTTAAAAGGATGCTTTTTCATGTATTCATCAGTTTGTTTTGCGCCAAACCCAGTTCGAGCGTTTTCCGAAAAGTTCTACCGATGTGCTGTCATATGACCAAAGCACATGGCTTCAATTTTCTCGTAGAGTTGGGCAAAATCTGTTTACATTTTTCATTGTAAGACAGAAAAGAATATTTCCTGATAATAGTTGGCTTGGCTGCCTTTACATCTTTTTCTCTATATGAGGTTGTGTGATTAATTTGAGTCTATGTTTGACTTATTAGAAGTCAGAAAGCTAAAAAAAAAGGCTTTCATGGCATTTTTAGTCCCCAACAAAACAATTGTGGTTTTGTTTTTTGTTTTTAACATTTCTAGATTGCTCTGATTAGCTTAGATGAGAATAAATAATGCAAACATAATTTAAAAAAATGATTCAGTTAAATTGTTTTTTCAAGCAATGCATTGGTAGGTGTGCCAGTAATTCCACCATTGGACAATTATTTCTTAACACTGGACCTTTTTCTCCCTAAATGAATGAACTTTTACGCCCCTTTTGTCACCAGTACCAATAACACCCACTGCATGGCATCAATGGTTCAAACTTTGTTGGTTTCTTTAAAAAGGAAAAAAAGGACAAATAAAGACATCTAGTTTTTTTAATCCAGAGTGAAGTAATGTTTGGCGCTTACACAGAGGTGCCGTACAGGGGGGAAAGTTATGGCAATTCCAAAGGCCCCTCACCGACAGGGGGCCCTCCGCAATTTATTTATGTTTTTTTTTTCCTAGAAAAAAAATAGGTTCCTGTCAATTACAAAATTAATGTGTTTTCTAAAATAGTTTTTAGCAGTAAAATCTAATGTTGCCCCTCACAGACCAAAAAGCAGACATCCATATTTGCACTGAGCCCCCCTGGATCTGCATGAAATGGTTTGTTCCTGCTTGGGACTTGACAGTCTACTATTTAATATTTTACTATACCGCCAAGAAAAATAATAAAGTAGGTTTTCAAAAAGATAAAAAATAGAAAAATAGCGAGTGAAAAAAACAACAACACAAGAGTGTCAATTTATAACCCAGTTTGTTTTTGTCTCTTTTTTTGTCATGGGGCCCAAGATTCCTGGCGGCGCCCCTGAGCTTACATCACAAACTAGAAAGAAATTACACGTGAATGACACTTAGCTGCGTGGCAAAAACCGGCCCTTTTCCTGAATAATCTCCTCCTCACCTGGCTCCTTTCAGCCGCAAACAAAGGGATTTGGTGGAGCCTTGTTAGGTCTGTGGCACATTCCCTCACTGCGGCCTGAATAGGTCTTTATGGGAGAAACACCACTTTGGGACGAGGTGACAAGAAAGGGGCCGGGCCGACGGTGAAAGCGAGACTAATACCCTTCCTTTGGCGCGAACACAAGTCCAGTGTTTTCTCCCGAAAGGCCGTCACTCAGGTGGGGACGTGAGATTTCATACGCCGTCGAGTACAAGGAATAACACGGAGATAAGTCCAGGAATGTTATTGCAGAAACACAGAGTGGCTTACTGTGATTTTTTTTAGGTGGCTTTTAATATGGCGAAAATCTTTCCTATTGCACGTCACGGTGCCTGATTGAATGGGTGTAATACGTCCACCTGAAAGGCAGAATAGGTCTCTTCACTCCGGCCCTTGAGTGGCCTTGAAAGCCTGATACGTAGCCGAGACCTTACCATGTTGTCCCGCAGTAAGTACCCCGCAATCAGGGCCCTCTGTGGTGTTTTTTAATTGAGCTTAGCCTGCTGAGTGGTAATTGATTCAGTCTGAGCTTCGGCGGAGGCGCCGCTACAAGGTGCAGCTTGGCTTCCGCCTTTCTTTAATCTCCCCATTTTGCTTTATATTGTCTGGGAATACTCACCACTGAGAAACTGCGTGCTATCTTTCTTATGGAAATCAATGCTTCTTTTGGAAGGAGGTGGAATGACAGAGAGGAGTACTTCTCAGGTCTTTTCATTTTTCAAACCAGTGTCCTTCTCTTTAGAGGCTTCGCCATACAGATCTCCTTGCCCTTTGGCTACTGATGTTTGGTACAAAAAAAAAAGAACCGGAGTTGTTTTGTGGATGCCGCTATCGTGTTTTTTTCTTTCTTTCTTTCATGCAGATTTGCTTTACTTTCAGTCTTTCTTGTTGGTTTTTCTTTCTTTTTTTTTACCTTGAACCAAGCTGCCAAAGAAAGAGAGAAAAAAGGGAGTGGGAAAAAAAATCAACGGAGCGGCTCAATCAGATCCAATAGTGTCTATGAAGTTGTTTTTTTCTTCTTCTCTTTTTTTCTTTCAAGCAGTTTTGAGGAGAGGCATCTGAGTGGTGAAGGAACGAGACCAAAATGTTTTCCAGTCACTTTTGATCCCGCTCAGTTCAAAGTCCCAGAGGAGAGCCGAGGAGGGGAAGCAGAGAGAGAGAGAGGGGTGCGCTGGTTGAGCGAAGAGGCACAGACACCTAGCTTTGACCTTCTGTCTGCGCTCGCGTCCTTTGAAAGTCGTCTTGTTTTCATTAAGCCGCTCACAAGCACAAGTACAGGGCCACTGTTTGACTAGCTCCTTACCCCCCGTATGGTATCTTTAATAGACATTTTTTTTTACATTCTCGTGCGGCTAATGTCTTCGGTTTTTCCCCAATTAGGGCGACAAATGCCAGGCGGCAGATGAATAATTTAAAACATTTGTAAGATATCTTGCGCGTTTTAATGCATTCATTTGTGCACATATGAAAGAAAATGGAAATCCTTTCATTGTACGGTCTCACACCCTTTTTTGGTCTATTCCTGTTTCCCTGGTAAGGGGGATAATTGGCCTAAAGTCATTGCTACACTGCAGTCTAACAGTACTTGTTTGTCATTTGCACATTTAACTAGTCATTTGGGTAATGGCTTCAGAGATTGCCCTTGTTTTTAAAGGGATTTTTTTCTTCCCCATGTAAGTATTGGGCCGATTTCCATAATGTGCCCCCATTTTTTTTTATTCATTGTAGAATAACTAATATATCTTTACTGCTAATAACAGTTTATGAAGTCTCACCCCCATTATCTTTATTATTATTGAAGCAGCAGCTATTAATAAAAAATATAGTAAAATATTTATATATGTTATGTTAACATGATTTACAAGAAGTACTGCAATTAACTGAACTTATTCCACCCTTTTTTTTTCTTCTATTGGACGGCCTTGTTAAGCCTTGATGTTATTGGCTGAGGGTTTAAACGGCTTTTAGACGGACAAACGGGCCCACACCATCACAGAACCTCCGCCTTACTCAACAGTAGACATATGTTCTTTTCAAGACGTTTCAAGTCTAAACAATAGACGGTAATGTTTAGATTTTTTACAAGGTTCTCAAGCCCTTTTGAAGAAAAGGAATCCCACATCATCACAGATCCTCTGCCATTCACATTTTTCCTGATGAACAGTAGAGTTAAGTTGTTGAGTTTATTTCTATTTAAAATAGGCCGTAATGACATGCACTCCAGCATGGTCCTCGGAAGTAAATCAGGCCCACAGCATTACAAATCCTCCACCGTACTTAACAGTTGACAGTTCCTTGTATTTCCTAACAGACGGTGATGTTAAGCGTTAGTGTTACTGGACACCTCTTATAAAGAGCGTCTCAGGGCTGACAGCTTAATTACTACCAACAAGGGTGGAGTTTTTCCTGCCAGAGCACCACAGTATCCCCCTCCCATCCCCACCTGTGACTTTCTCACTCATGATATGCATCGTTGAGTAACCAACAGCCTCCTCTTCATGTGTCTCAGGCCTGGAACTCCCCTTCATGATGATGCCACACCCCCTGATCCCGGTCAGCCTGCCCCCAGCCTCTGTCACCATGGCAATGAGCCAGATGAACCACCTCAGCACCATTGCAAACATGGCTGCTGCTGCCCAGGGCCAGAGTCTGCCTTCCAGAATGGTCACCTCTGTTATAAAGGTACATTTTTAAAATAATGACACACTTTTTTTTATTTTTTTTTTTAAATTGATTTATTTTTGGTTTGTTTGTTTATGACTCCGGAAGCTTTGAACCTTTTATTCTCGTGGTGTAATTCTGTACCTGCATCAGATGTTTATTTTGGTCGTGTGTGTTTTTGTGGCTGCTGGGGTTGCAGGAACGTGTGCCGGACAGTCCCTCCCCTGCTCCCTCCTTAGAAGACAACAGGAGGCCCGGCAGCCACCCTTCATCCCACCGCAGCAGCAGCGTGTCCAGCTCCCCAGCCCACACAGAAAGCTCCTCAGACAGGATACGTAAGTTTGCTTTTTGCATAACAAACAACATAACCAAATGTATTATTGTTTTTTTCCTCTTTTTGTTTTTTTTAAGACTCTAGAGTAGAGGAAAGTCTGTGGATGTTACTGATAATTTCTTGACGATTCTTCTGCAGCAGCGCACCACAACGGGCTCTCGATGAACCAAGCCCTTCTAGGCCTGTCCCCCAACATTGCCCCTGGGCCTAAAGAGGGAGACCTGGCCCACGACATGAGCCATGAAGTGAAAAGGATGCACACTGACAAAG